AATATGTATCTATATATTTATATATACATATATATACATATATATTTATACATTTATATATATATTAGTATATATATATATATATTGGGGTTTGTGTATATATGTATGTATGTATGTACATACGTATGTTTGTATGTATGTATGTATTTTTATTTATGTAGGTGATATATAAGTATACGTTTGCATTTGTTGCATGCATCGATGCATGTATATATGTTTTCTTAGTTACCTGCTATATGAACGTGCGCTTGGTTACTGTCCATGCTCTATCCACTTCCTGCTGGGCTTGTATGAGGACACCTCTTGGTCACCCTAATCGTAAACCGTCACACATCAACACTTCCGCTTAGACCTGGGTATGACTGATGAGGAGCAAGCGTTCGTGGATCTGCTGGTAGATTTTGACGTAAGTTCAATCTGTAGTTGGTGTGTATGGTAAGTCCCAATGTAGCGAACGTTGGAATTAGTTCATAATATGTCTCGTGTATTTGTGCGTTGTCATTATTTTTGCGTAAGATGGGATGGGTTAAGGTGTCGGCTACTCTGATAGCTCTATCTTCCAGCACGCCTCGCTCAGGTGCGATGTGCGAATACGGGAGGTTTGCTTGAGTTATTCCATTTACTTTCGTGTAAATTCAAACCACACGAACATATTCGATATATGAGTGTTATAAATATCTTGCGTGTATGCACTTTAGGCGGATTTCTTGACCAAGCGTGCGACGGAGGTGTTGACTGAAGTATTCAATCGATTTGACGAGGACAAGGACGGGTTTCTCAGCGACAAGGAAATGGTATGGGGAGCCTTTATTCGGATCATATGGGCATACATATGCGCAATTGGCATAAGTATAGCACTAATGCCACAGCCTCAATCTGTTGACATGTGCGTGTTGTAGAAGTTTTTATATACTCTAGTGGCATGACCAAAGGCGTATCTGCTCAACCAAGCACAGTCTTCGCTGGCTGTGTATGTTTCGTTATCCTTCCCGTGATGTGTACATTTATTAATCTGCGAACTAACATGAGATATCGATACCGATTGCTGTTCTTCTGTGGTGGCTGTGTATTGTCTGTGTGTTTGTTGTTGTTTGACTTGATATCACTTGCCTTTGATTGGGGTGTGTGTGCCTATGTCTGTGTTGGTGTCGCTGTTGTATCTCTTCTGTGGTGGCTGTGTATTGTCTGTGTGTGCTGCTGGTGTTTGACTTGATATCACTTGCCTTTGATTGGGGTGTATGTGCTTATGTCTGTGTTGGTGTCGTTGTATTTCTCCTGTGGTGGCTGTGTATTGTCTGTGTGTGTTGCTGATGTTTGACTTGATATCACTTGCCTTTGATTGGGGTGTATGTGCTTGTGTCTGTGTTGGTGTCGTTGTTGTATTTCTCCTGTGGTGGCTGTGTATTGTCTGTGTGTGTTGTTGATGTTTGACTTGATATCACTTGCCTTTGATTGGGGTGTATGTGCTTATGTCTGTGTTGGTGTCGTTGTTGTATCTCTTCTGTGGTGGCTGTGTATTGTCTGTGTGTGTTGCTGGTGTTTGACTTGATATCACTTGCCTTTGATTGGGGTGTGTGTGCCTATGTCTGTGTTGGTGTCGCTGTTGTATCTCTTCTGTGGTGGCTGTGTATTGTCTGTGTGTGTTGCTGGTGTTTGACTTGATATCACTTGCCTTTGATTGGGGTGTGTGCGTTGGTGTCCTTGTTGTATTTGTGCTCTCGCACGATGAATTGTGGGACATCATGCAAAGAGGTTCCTTATCGCATGCCCTATATGGCGATTGCGAGATGCAGTGGTTGTGTGCCTGACAGACTCAGTAGCATAAGTGCAGCAGTGGCACATCTGAAAGCAGTATTACGAATAGCTGTGAGAGAGTGTGCGGTTGTCTCTGGGGAAACGGCCTGTGTCTTGGTTTGAGAGGAAGTGAAAGTTCAGTTACCATAGCCAGTGGTGTATGAGTGAATTTCGTTCACCGTGTCCGGTGTTCTTGTGCCTTCTGCTGATTTAAATGGCTTCAGAATCTGGGATTTGAGAACGCGGTATGCCTCTGCATGGCAACCACTGAGTGAAATTATACGATTTAAGTAGAAATGCATGTACGTATATCAGGAGTATACTTTTCAATGCTTGTGTGCCTAATGTTTGTTGTTAACATGTTGCACTGAAGGACGCGTTCGCGGAGGTTTGCAACGGTGAGAAATTTGAAGACGAAGACAGAGATGATATCAAAAACACTTTTGGAAGTGAAAATGGCAAATTCACACTGGAAGGGTTCCACAATCTCTTCATGTTACAAAGCTGCGGTGCGTATTCCATATAATGTAACGTTGTATTAGGTCATAGAGTAATGCAGAGTATCCAATAGCTATGTATATATATATTGTTATGTGTGTGTGTGCATGTGTATGTATGTACGTATATACGCGTGTACGTTTGTACGCATGTACGTTGTGAGCATGTATGTATACAAAGCATAGTAAGTACTAATTGAATGGCAGTAGTGTTCCCAATGGTCTGGCAATTGATTGACTGTCAGTCACATATCTTGCAGGCTATCGAGTGCGCACAGTACACCTCTTGTCCGTCTAACTACGCCTTATTACGCTCTTGTTTCTGAGTCTGGTTCGAGGATATTATCTGTTTGGGTTGCCTTGTGTGTTGTAACTGGCATGTTGTGTGTCCTACACAGTTCGTGTAGATGGATCTCGGTTGGTATTGAGTACATAGAATAGGAGTTTCGATTCTAGCAGTCATTTTCGACGGAGTAAGCGCACGCCAGTGTGTGTGTTTTGCCAGTTTGTGTGTTTCGGTCACTGTCTCGTAGTCACACTCACACAGTTACATAATGCATAGTGGTGCGCGTCAGCAATGTTTAGAGTATACGAGAAGTGGTCAGACACGACTGATCTGTTAAACCGCGAAGGCTACACTGGTCATTGCTGTCTGTTGACTGTCGCACGTTACAGATATCTATGAAATATGCCACAGCTAAACATACATTGTTCTCACTGAGGGTTTAACGCTAGTAGATACGAACATTTTTTATAGTCATACGCATTGTAATCAACATGTCTCATAGGGGTTTAGCATTCTAGGTTCTAGGGTTTAGTCATACTCTTTCTGAGATGCGTGGTGCTCGATTGTAGTTGCGTGATGTTCAATCAGTGCTGTATCTCGGTGACTCCTCATTCCGTGTCTGATTGTACACATTTCTTCTGTTCAGGACGTCCACTCGACACCATCAGGGACTTAAAAGCGCTCGGATATGGCCCCGGCCTAGAGAAGCTCTCTTCTGAATAATCCGATGCACTTTATAAGCTATACTCGTCACTCATGTGAGTGAGCGACATTATCAGTGACACTGGAACGGTCATCTCGCGCACCTACTGATATGATCATCTGACGCTACAAGAAGACTTGGCCGTGTCTATCGACCGCAGAAAGGCGAACCAAAACCACCACTACTCGTGCGTATCAAAACGTCACCAGTTAGTTGCACTGGCGAGAATCAAGTTGCCATGTGCAAACATAAATTTAGTTGTAAATATAAAAATTCTCTCAAAAATGTGAATTGCAACAGCACAATACAGTCTACCCGCTTGTATTCCATGGTCTTGTATTTTTTGTCAGTAGATCATTTTATGGGAGATATCACCATAGCAACCTAGGTGAGACTAATTTCGCCTCCCAATTTTTCGTGCTTGATGTCATATTACCGGTCATAATAGTCTCAACCCCTTCTTAAGCTCACACTATTGGTGTGTCAGAGTATTGGGATCCTTCGCATGTTTCTCATATCTAGTACTTTAGGACCAGCACCTGGAGTGCACGCGGTGCGAGGGCAGGTAGAATGCACGGCGAGTGGTCAAGTGAAGCCTACGAGCAGGCATCACACGCCAGTGCAGTGAAACAAACCTTGTCTCAAATACATAGTGTAGACGTTACAAGCAACTGGCAGCTAAGCGGTGGCCGAGTCTACCAGTACCAGCAGACATACAAACATATTGATAGCTACAGATCCCCTAAGACACCTTTACCCTTAGCCCATAGATACCCACTATTATATCCCCCTAGACTAGACTAAACTATATATACCCCTCCTAGCAGTACCACATATGTACACCTTCACATAACTACCCCACCCCATATGAGTATAGTATAGAACGGTACATCTATAAACTAGTACATATAGCTGGAAGTGAGATATCCTACCCACCTATACCACTAGCACTCCTCCTATTTGACTTTAACCTCCTATCGGCTAAAGTCCACCTTCTAGACTGTAGATTGTAGTACTATTACTGAGGGATATGCTACTCTTGGGCATCGGGTGGGGTATCATAGAGTAGCCCACCTACTGCGCCTGGTGACTATCTGTATATCTTTATGTCGTAGTCTTTATCCTCCCTTCCTGTGAATATAGCTAGTAGACACTGCACTCTCACCACTCCCCCCCTAGACTATTGCATGTCCAAATACTCCCCGTGTAGTGAGGTGCTACCCTAGTGGGTATATATGTATCTGCATCTCTACCCTACTCCTTTATAGTAGTGGTACTCTCTTTGCACGTATGGTGACACATACTGTTGCATGCTAGTAGTTTCCGTACACTCACACATCTACCATAGCTGTAGTGATAGACAGACTACCATACACCTAGAGTATACACCTATCCACGCTCACACTCTCTGACACATCTACACTCATACACATATAACGCTTTCTACACTCATACATGCAGACTTCCACACCCTATAGTACCCTAGCCTAGGCTAGCCCTACTCCATAGGTGTATTACCTCACCATTTACCCTTTCGATAAGGTAGCCTAGTATACACTATACACTAGCACAGATAGATCGATCCACACCCATATAGATAGATACTATTAAATATAGCTAGCCCATATACTATCCCTATACCTATTTAGCAATAGCCGTGTATAGAGCTATACTATATTCATGGTCCTGTACCCATCCAGGTATAGAGTATACCATACCTTGTATACTTCTGCTTAGATGTATAAATAGATGCTTAGATAGATGAATACCCCTAGACTATCCATAAAATTATAGCTATAGATATAGATATAGATTTTATAGATATCCCTACACTTTACCTCTATAGCTACTACCGCATAGGGATAATACCCCTATGGTTAATTTTATTTTGGGTATATTTTTATATGTCTACATTCACGTTAGGCTTCATATCCGTTGGAGAGGTTCTGGGAAAATCGAAGGGAAGATAAGAATGTTGAAATGCAGGGAGAAGCTCGAGGTGAGTGATGTAACGATGGATGATATACGGTGCGTTAGCTCACGACGATGGACACAGAATGCCTCTACCATTGGGTGGGAGCTAAAGCCTGTGTGCCACTGCGTGAAATAAAGCTGGCCCACACTCGTATAGTGGTAATATGGGCTGAGTCAGTCAGAGATATTTTGAACGTGATACCACGAAGGGTGAGGTTGTCATCCGCAATTCTGTTTTGGAGCGAAGTTGGAAGTTGCCCGATACCACACCACACAACTGATGTATTTGGAATATCCTGGCTAGCCATAGGAGGAAGTATAATAGGCGGTACCTGAAGTCTCGGAGATTTGGTTTGTACCGAAATCTGGAAATAGTACTTCAGTAAAGTGATGAGACGGGGTATGGGGAACGAATTAAATTTTTGTCCGCTGTTCATGGAGAAGGAATCTCCCGAGACGTTCGTGGGGAGTCCATATGCCGTGGTAGTCATGCCCATTTTGTAGTTGTTGTAGTAAGTCCGGTCCAATTGAGGGTAGGGCCCACCAGAATATGCCTAATATTAGGAAACTGATACAAGGAAAGTGGCTGGGCATAAAATCTTATCTCCGGGGCACACAGGGCAGATGCATCCACCAGAAAGATAGTCAAGCAATTCGAACAGCAACGTGTTGGTTGCTATCATGACACAAAAGGCGGATTGGGGTGTGTTGACGGTAATTGGTAAAGCTATCATGGGAGGGCTTGTCCCGGCCCGTGATAGAAAGATACCCCCTTATAAGTCGATAGTAGTATTGGCGGCGAGCCTTGCCTGCTATTTCCTTAGTTGCGAGATTTTTGTGGTATTTTGTCGGATCTACTCGCGGAGCTTTCGGAGTTCTTTGTGATAAGGTGTGCGCCCAGCCCATGATTGTAGATAAGCGTATATACTGAACGGGATTTTGTCCGGCGGTCTGTTACGTGTCCAAGCATGAGTTTGTACTGTTGATCCAGTCAAAATGTATTCCCAGGCAGCCACCAATGTACTCCGCAAATTGACGTGCTGGAATTAAACAGCAGATGTAAAGAAGCCGTATGCGCTGGTATGGGAGTTTCGGAAATATAGTGGCTGTTATGATAACTGCTGCTTGAATTAGTGCAGAGTTGTACCGCTCGTACATCGGCTTCGACGCGACATGCCGAATAGGTGGAACCTATACAATGATGTTCAGACCATAGGTGGCCGTTAAAAGAATGAATGTCTTGAATATTTCGAACTGATTTCGCGGATTTAAACCCTAAACCTTGAAACCTTATAGTATGGGGCAATGCTGCCACGAGGCGGTCCAAGTATATTACTGAGTCGATGCTCGTATGCCATGGGGCAGTTAAAATCCCAAGTATTTGGAAAGCTGTGAATAGATGTCAGAGAGTTCCGCCGCCATGGGCATGGGAGGGATAAGTAGGCGTCCGTTGAGATGTTCGCATTTGGGGAGCCTACTAGCGTTGGCGTGATGAAATGTCCTTTGATACGGAGAGGCGGTATTTCATGCAGCATACTCGACGATCTCTTTCTGGGCTTAAGAACCCTTTGTTCTAGACCGGATTGGCGACCCTAGTCATCGATCGCGTTCAGAAAGGGTTCTAAACCCTAAACCCTAAAACTTCCCCTGCATCCGAACAGACTGCGGAGCCTGGATACGCGTGTCATCTACAAAGAGGTAGGAGCGGAGGATTTTCGACCGAAATTGTGCAAGCGTCATAGCCAGGGAGTCCATATAATGATAAAAAGCTGTGGGCCGACAATCAAATTCGTTCTATGTAATAGAGATGAAAGCTTCCTGCGATACGTCATCCGTGTGAGAACATTCTTGAACAATGCACGGAGACAAATTATCCAGTTCTTTGGCATTCCAGCGTGGCGCAACAGCATCCACATCTATGGAAGGACCACTTTATCGTATGCTTTGGTGATTGTGTCATCTAGGGACAAGATTATCAGAAAAGCCAATCGCCAATCCAAAACCCAAAACCCCGGATTGTCAAACACTGAGTTTTGGATCTAGGATCTAATATTTCTGATATTGGAGTGATCAGAAATATAGCGGGAATACCGGTAGATAATACGGGGACTCCCGCGTGTAGGAGAAAAAGTTGAGTCCAGTGTAGAAACATCAAACACAAATATAGACTCCATGCGAGCCCTTCAGCCTAGGACTTTACCTAGCTGAGAGATTCGCACTTGAGAAGAGGTCTATTGTTTCCTTGGGTCGTATCCTTTCAGGACACACATCGTTCCAGGCATCCTTGGGTTGTGTCTCAAATTTCATCGCGGCTAAATAAATCCAGCTTGAGTTGCATGGGTGCTTGATCCGGAGTGATTTGTTATCAGCTGGAGGAAATACTTTTCAATCGGCAGGGGATGCAATATCCTTGTCTACTTTCTTCGGATGGGCGTCAAGAAAGTATAGTTGAGAGCCTTAGGAAATGTATCAGCCATTAAGAGGGCGGAGAACGCCTTTAGGTAGGCTGCCAGAGTCAGGGCATCCCGTAGTCAGGGGTTCAGTTGATCGTTCTACTACGGCCTTAAGGAGAAGGATATGGATACCATCTAGACCAGAACCCTTGTTTGGATAGCGCAGTATAGCCTCCAACACCATCTCCGAGTGAATAAGTGTGACTCGGATGCCTCTTCTCTAGCCCTCTACTGATATAGACCTACCACTCTACCCATAGACTATCCTTACACTATCTAGACCTACATATTTTCTTCTCTATGGATGTGTCTAGCTATAAAACAGACAACCCCTGTTAATGTTTGATAAATTTGTTAAGAAAAGTAATATATATTTTCCAGAGATAAAAGTTTCTATCGTCCCAACAAAGCCAACAATGTAAGAATATCGCAAATCTAAACATATACATTTATAGTATTTATAGTTCCTACTCTCATATAAACGGTTCACATCCTCATCACTTAATCAAGTATAATAGTTTATAGATGTAATCAAGTGTCGTTAATTTATATATCAATACAAAGTAGTTTTATATTGAAATGGCATTATGATACTACAATAAGATAAGTGCGATATAAATGTTTGTCCCCATATCTATGATATGTTATAAGAGATATTCATTGAGAATGATACAGGTATCCATCAAGAATAAGACAGAGATAGTCATCGAGAAGAAGATAGATTTACCATATTCATTTATTTGATCTTATCATATCGATTATAGTTTTATAGTTCATGTAGTTGTTTCTGTATGTTAGGCTGCAATGTAGTAGACTTTAAATAAAGTGTTCTGTGTTTCAAACACTTTTGCAAGAAGCTACGACTGTGGGTGACCCAGTGCACTTA